TTACTTCCTTCACCAGCCCAATCCCGGTCCCTGCGTAGGTACACATCCTACCCTCTGGCCCCCAGCCCAAATCTCCCAATTTCATGGCTTCTTTGTACATTGCGATATTCTCCTGTTCACCCATACCATGCATCGCGTCCAGAAACGTCCTATTTACCACTCCTCTGCCCACGTACGTCCGTGGCCAGTCATTGATACCTCTAACTGTATCATAAATGGTACTCGCGACGGTACTGACACCTCCATCGCCTACCCTAAGCACTTCGTTCTGATACCCTTTTGCAATCACCGCTTCAGTGCTTGCAAGGAATCTCGTCCCCAAACAAACCCCATCCGCCCCCAGCGCCAACGCAGCAGCAGCGCCTCTGCCATCAATGATCCCACCACTTGCTACAATTGGAATCCCCTCGATTCCCTCCTCCTCAAAGACACCCCGCACTTCCGGCAAAAGCGTCATCAGACTCGCCCTCTCATTCAAACCATGCCCGCCCGAGTCGCTTCCCTGAACAACTAGCACGTCCGGTTTCGTGGTCTTGGCAACCTCCACCGCCTCCGCCACAGTGCCGACCTGAACCCATATCTTCGTCGTGTTGTTGCTAATCTGGCGGATGGATTTGGCCCAATTAAGCAAATCAGACAGCTGGCGCGGCGCGAAGAGCCATACTGCTGCGACTGGATGCTTCCGCAAGGCTTCGAGTGCGAGGTCGAGGGAAGCGCCCCAGCTTAGGACGCCAACGCCGATGGGAAGCACGCCGTTATGAAGGGGTATATCCGTTGATTTCGCGTATTCGGCCGCTTCGGCTAGATTTTCTGACAGCTGTGAGAGGTCGTACCCGCCCGCAAGGAAGCCTATGCCGCCCGCAGAAGAGACGGATATGGCGAGGCGACCAAGTGAGATTTTCATCATGGGTGCAGAGACCACGACAGGAACGTTTGGAGTGGTCCATGCATGGCTGGCATGGAGAGAATGACTCACGGACGACATCGAGGCTCCGCGGAGAAAGTAGAAACCTAGTTGTGGCAACGTCGAGGATGATTCAAGACTACAAAATGCCAGCAGAACAGGTAGGTACCTACGATTTTTGTGATGCGTGATCTTGTAGAATCAAACTTGTTGAGGGAGGGAGGAGACGCAAATGGATTTGCAAAGACCTCCCGCCGATCGGAGGTCATGGCGTACCACATCAACACGAGCTCCATGCGGGAAGCTAGCGCCTTCTAGACCTGTTTCTCTCCTGGCCGCCGGCGAATGGAGGCTTCCGCGGAGCCGACTGCGCTTAGACGGAACCACTTCACTGGCTTGCGATACGAGTGCGCGCTGGGGGTTGAAAGAGAATGCCGCAGACCAAGTTACATGGCTGTTTGCTTTTGGGTGGCGTATCAGTTGGTCGGCTCAGCGGTGCATGGTGTGGACGGATGGCGGTACAGCACTCGGTTGTTGTTGCCCGGTGCTGACTTGGCAAATTTCGATTGTTTGTCCGCTCTATTCATCGAATCTTTTTGGATGAATTACGCCTTTTCTGGTGAAGCAACGGCGTCGTTACTGTCTACTGCCTTGCTGCTCGCAGCTCAAATCCACCTATCCTGTCGTCCTCTTCTTTTTGTTTCTGCCAATCTACCATTGCTTCGTATCTTCAACACTGTTGCTCGGAGACGAATCTCAACCACCTGCCACCTTGGCTCTTTCGCAAACCCATTTACCCAACATCTTCTCTGCATTTTGAATATTTCCGCACCGATTTGACAAAATGTCCAACGCCCCAGACCGGTATGTGGGAATTTTCTTTGTTTGGTCTCACTGCATTATACTGGAAGAGATTGGCGACTCGATGAAGGAGAAATGAACTCGGCTCAAGAGAAAATGGAGTTCGCCTCAAGGAGAAAGGCCCGATAGTAGTTGGATTGCCACTGCCACAACCCTTTCGAATCCTTGGGTCTGCTGGAAGGATCAAATGAACCGCCTTCACCTGGGGATGACGTGTTGGCTGCCATGAAGAATTGTCTAGACAACCGTCTGCATCGAAGAACCTAAGCCTTGGCGCTGTCTTCACCCGACTACAAATTCACCTGCGCCTTCGCTTCAACCCCAACCACCTGTCTAGATCGACCATCCGACTGCCCGTACATAGTGTTGGCACACAATTTTTGTGAGAAAAATTGTCGTTCATCATGTCGGAGACGCCCGACGACCAGGGAATGGGTCCGGAACAAACGACTGTGTCAGGACACTCTTCTTCACCTCGCAAAATTGCTTTCGTTCTCCCGCCACGACGAGTCTCGTCTGTTACGCTTGTTCAATTCCATCAACGAGTCTGGTCGGATCATCCGAGGAACGAATTGGTTGGAGGCGTCAATTCCGGTGTTGACACAAATGGCGCGAATCTACCAGCTGCGTAAGTTGAATCTCCCGTGGACGCGCCACTTCTGGACTCCGGACTCTAGATCATCTCTGAGACCGGACCCGGATCTGGACTTGCCACTAGTCCGATCAAGGAGGCCTTGACTTAGTTTAACGCTTCGCAGCAATGAGGATACCAACAGCAAGGTCACCGCAAAGGACATCGTCGATATTGAGCACACCGAGATTGAGGATACTGGACAACCGCCGTCGCCACCCCGGACCTCTAATCTTGACCGCGGCCGAGGTGGTCTCCCTGCCGATGGTAAAGCCTGGAGAAATTTCCCTGGCAATCAGAAAGGCGTCCGACTCCACTGCTGGGCAAATGGGATTGACCATACTGCGATCAACATATCTGACAGGTGCGCGGTTACAAGAAGAGGATCGAGATGACATTCCGCACAAGAGAGGCTGCTCTAGCTATTTGGCTTTTCCTGCGTTCAGCCTCGCAATACGGGTAACAACGGCTGACTTTGATGATACAGTACCGAGTCTTTCCTCCTTGGCGATGGCGAGAAGAAGATCGAAGAGAAGATCGATACTCGTGGGTTGCTTGAATCGGTCTCCATCTGCGCCATACTAATTAGTTTGCCCAAGGAACCCCCAACACCACCATCTTCACCTTCAACAAGGAAGATCACACACTCGCCAATTTGCTTCGTGACAAACTCTTGAAGAACAGTCACGTCACCTTCGCCGCATACCGTGTAAGTGATGTAACGACCTGAACCCTCGCTCTAGTCTAACACCAACCAACAAGATTCCTCACCCCCTCTTTGCCAACTTCGAACTCCGAGTCCAGACCGACGGTGAGATTACTCCCAAGGAAGCCGTGCTCGCCAGTTCCCGCGACCTGGTCCAAGACCTAAACAACCTCAAGACCAATTTTACCCGCGAGTATGAGTTGAGGAAGATGGTTGGAGGTGCACAAAATGAACAGTGATTGCCTCGTACTGGTACAGAGAGCCGCGGCTCAACACGATCCAACCCGAAACATGGCGATTGCACATTGTTGATACCCTGTACTCTTAGTGGGCGGCTGGAGTGCTGGACATGGGCGTTGCACAGGGTGTGATATGACACGTACTGCTTAAGGGCGGGAAGGGATTGCGGTCTGCATGCATGGATAGAAACATAATCAAAAATCATTGCATCACATTGCATGGAATGGAACACGCTACTTGGATTGCTGGCCCGGAAGGAAGACTGCTTGTTTGCGTGCGCGCTCTCATACAAGCGACACTCGAGGTCAAAATGACGTTTCATCGGAATTAGACCTCGCAACCATGAGGTCCATCCCAAGCCACAGCCTGCTCGAGCCAGGCGGTCTTGGGTCCGCCGCACCTTTCGAACTCCTCTGGTAGTAGTTGCCCATGGCCTGGAATCCACTAGTCCACTCATCCATCTTTGGGCTCAGCAGCTGCAAGGTTGGCACGGCCCAACGAGCAACCTATTGGCATTCCATCTCCCCAACAATAGGTACGGACAGCACAAACGCCGAAAGGCACAGGTGGACTCCTGCGATGACTATCACGACGATGAGCCCCGTCCCAACTGTCGCATCGGGTATGAATCCGCGCTGTATGAGTGGGCGGTCGCTTTCGCGGAGGTGAACCGATCGACGCAGTCGTAGTACTTGTACGCGCTCCGGACCAGCATGAAATACTTGCGGTCACCCTCACCTTCCCCTGGCCCACCTCTCCCCTCGTCACCTACTGCAGTGTCCAGTCGAGACGGTAGAGCGGCCCTGGTCGACGATGTTCTGGCTTCCAAGAAAGGGGCTTTGCACGAGTATGGCGACAGCCGACACGCAGCACGAGGAGACAGCCCAGCACCAAACAGTCTTACGCCGCACCGGTAGCGGCACCTGCCTCTGGCTAAGAGTCAGTCTGCCGCTTCGGCTTCGAGTCTCAAAATCCGTTCAAAATCCGTTCAAAATCCGGAAAAGACAAATCGGGCCCAAAAACCCAAGGGTAGAAAGAAAGGAGAAGCCAAAGCCAGGCGACAGGGCAAAGAGAGGAGCGGCAGTGGACAAGACACAATAAAGAGCCTTAGGGATCGGAGTTTGCAGTCCACAGCCCACCACAGTCCAGTTCTCGGTTATCTATACACAGTCATTTGATAGCCTTCCTACGTAGTCAACTTGGTTCACGACCATACTCATATGGTTTGGATATGGATCACCTTCGCTCAGTACATTGACTCGCTCAGTGTGAGGAACAGCCTAAGGCGAGAGGCAGAATGTAACAGTAGGGGCAACAGACTAATTAGGCATCGCTAGCTTATGGTCAATACACGGCTCGAAGCATGAGAGGAAAGAACTCTCATTTGGGAAGCCTGTAAGTTATGAGCACCTTCTTCGCGGGCTCAGTAGGATAAGTTTCGGCAGCTATTCCTGGCACTCAGTAATTACTGCGTCTGTTGGATACCTCTTGTGGGGAGCGATTCGTAACATCCTAATACAAACAAAAATATCATGCCAGAGAAGTTCAGAAGAACTTTGCTCACTGAGTTTTATAGGAAAGCGAAATAGAACGCTGACCAGAGACAGAGGAGCATCGAGAGTAAGCCCAAAAAAGGACGTTCCAAGTCAAAAAAGAAACTCCCCGACAGGGAATCGAACCCTGGTCTCCCGCGCTTGTTATTTGGAATGACAAGCGGAAACTGATTGAATGTTAGATGTGAACCAACTGAATTGTTGGACTGGTTGAGCTTACTCATGACCACTAGACCATCGAGGAACCACATGTTTGCATGTTTGATGGCATGTTTGATTGTTGAGAGGAAGTGCGGTACACAATAATAAGAAGGTCAAATTAATTTGTGGGGTCACGTGCCCAGAATACCTTCTAGGCAAAGACTTAGCCTCAAATTTAAGTATTTGCCTATCAGGTCTTCAACCCGGAGACAGATTCACTACAGATCATCATTTGCCGAGTCTCGGATCAATTGAAAGAAATTGTTGCTTGTGTTCTGCCCTTTTCTCACCCGTGTCCTCATGACCAGCCACGTGCCTACCAAGCCAAGCTGCATAAGGTACCATGCTCGTGAGGTTCACGACCCGGTATCCTAAGCTTATCTAAGTGAGTTCTTGACCCACGCCTGATATCGGGTCTTCCAAGTAGCTTGCTATTGGTTTGCGCAGCACTAGCGCGCTTGAAGATCTTTCGTGGATGGATGAGCACAATGGGTCTGAAGCGTAGACACGAGGTACTTTTGTGTGTATTCTCCGCAATTGGACACAGCAGGATCTTTTCTAATGCATTCACATAAAGGGCCAAAGCCGAAATTGTGGGAAGAATTCGGCGGTTGGAGATGCCAGAGATTGAGGGAATGGTATCAGGGAAGGATAGCAGGAGGTGTTGGTCAGGAGAGTACAAGGACATGTTGGGAGTGAGGCAGGGGACAATCGTAGAGGCGCACTGAGACTCCGGCAGAAGAATGTGTTGTCCACAACAAGTGAAGAGATACACCCCTAAAGGTGAGTGGGCATTCGGGAGTTCATCTTCTTCAGCAACTCCTCATTCACCTTCGCCACGACGACTGCCTGATCTCCGCCATGTCTTCCTCCAGCCACCTGCACACATACGGCCCACTGGAATGCCTTCATCCAAATTCGGATCATCTAACCGAAAATCAGCCCACGAAACCTTGGTGGATGTAGGGCCCAACTTACACTGCGCCCGTTTGAATCTATCGCTCTCAATTCGCGACTTCTGGCCTTGGTTTTTCCATTCTGCGGCCCCTTCATCCTTGGGCTTCACGGCGGTTGCGGGGATGCTCATGGCTGCAAAGCCAACAAAATTCCACAGAGCACTGATCCGAGATCCTAACTTAACTTAAGCCGTTCCTCAGGCCTGTAGCCGACCCATGGCTAGACAGGCATGATCAGAGCGTTCAAACTAGTGGATTTCCAGCGGCAGAGATGATGGGCGTTGTAGGCGATTTTAGCGTCAGAGAACTTCAGGGGACTTGGGAGGGGAGTATCGAGGCGAGTGAGCAATGAGAATTGCCCAACTTCCCAATCAGTGCTACCCATCCGGTCGATCATCTTCAGCAGTCGCTGGTTCCAGACTCCGTCGTCCCATCACCGTTATTACGTGGCCTCCTTGTTCCTCCTCTCCTTCTCCCTCTTCCTCTCGCGATCACACAATTCCTGAGCGTGGGGATATTCAGGGACCTCCCTCGAATTGAAAAAACTCCAGTACCGCTTGACTTCGGCTTGGTGGTGGTCTGTTGTGCCATAGACTCCCATAAGGTACACGGTCAACGCCAGGTGTATGTAGGCTTCATTATCTTGACGAATGGCCGAGACGATGGTGCAAACTCTGTCAAGTACCATGGTGACGATCCGAAGACATTCTAAAGAGGAGGGCGACTGTACCACGGAGGACAGAACAGCGGCTAAGCGCCAGGCGTCCTGGAGCAGGGACTGTTGGGTGGAATGCTGGTCGGCGTGCTGGGAATGGAGTTTGAGGAGCTGGAGCAGGTTGAGATGACATGATTTTTCCATGTCAAAGGCAGTCGACTCCCGTCGATGCACAACGTCGATGTAGAGCTGAAATGTCTCCCTCTCGCACCCCGTGAGCTCAAATAAGGAGTCGTCCATGTACTCGCGGTGGAACTCGTCAAAGATCAATTGTCTGTCCTGATGGACAACTGATCCCATGACATCGTACCAATTCAGTAGAGACACGGCCTGCTGCAGGCCCGGGGTAGAGTCACACACTCGGATGAATTGGGCGAGATTGCCACAATGGGTGTCGAGCAAGGCACGAGCGCCGCGCAGATGGCGGCCCCAATCCCCAAACGGGCCCTCGCGAACATCGAGAAAAGCGAAAGTGGTGATGCCAAAGATTGCATAGATGTGCCCTGCTTGAACCATCCGGCTGAGTGCACTCAATGCCGTGAGGTGGAGAAACTGAGGGTTGCTGTTGACATCCTCGTCGGGATAGTTGCAATTGGATGCTGTGCGTTTCCAGGCAAACTCCCAGATATCGGATAGATCGTCGGTGTTTGGCGAGGGAAGAGGTGTTTGAGAGATGTCAGGTTTACCACGTCCCAGATTGAGCTTCGCGGCAAAGTATTCGAGGTAACTCGAGGTATCGGTTGTCCAGTTGATAGAATAATCGTCAATGTCTTCCGCTGTAGAGCGGGGGGATGTTGTGCTTATTTCTCTGCTGGGTCGAAGCGCTCCTGTCTTTGGATTTCCATCTCCAACCCACTTGACCGTCACTCGATAACCTTGACATTTCAGACCGGCTTTTTTACATATCTCGCATCCTGGCCTGTTGAGGTCGCACTTGACCTGTCGGCTTTTGCAAGTCAGACAGTCTCGATCACGTCGAACCCCACGTGGTTTGCCTTTGGGACGAAAGATCTTCGAGACCATCGTTTGATTACTTTCCTATACCAGACGGAAATATGGAGAGGTCCGGGGCAGGTTAAGTAAGGGCCTTGGGAGATCAAGAGATAAAGTCGAACCAATGGGAACCGGTTGCAGATTGACGATCTCGATAAGGAACACGTGGGATTTCAAACTTCGCCATGTATTCTTGAGCTGCAAACCCGAATTAATGAACATTTTGTCCTTGTCGCTTCAGAGATAACAGTCTCAGACCTAATTACATGGCTCTCAAAGGAGATGAAACTCAAATGTACGAGGTAGGGATTGATTCCATTTGTCAGGAACAATCACCGACACACCGTTCCTTGAACTAGGATACATCCCAAACAATCTCTCCAATAGCCCGATTCTCCACAAGAATTGCGATACCTCATCATCTTCTCATCCACGAATGTTTCTAGCAGAATTTGAACATCATTGCCATGCCAGTCTTTGTTGTTACAGCTCAGGAATTCTGGCAATATACCCTGGGAGGCCAAGTTGACTTCCCCTCCCATCAAGCCCAACGACCTTAGTCTCTTCCAGAGACATCGGACAGTAATAGACAGACACTTGGACCTACTTCCTCTCCTAACATGATCTCATGGTTCCCATTCTTGCGGCTGGGTAGGGCGCCGATCGAGTGGAGAGAGAGCAATACCATTTGCTGGGTGCCAACCAGAGTCTAGGCTCACTCCTGGATGTCAAGATTTGTATACAACTGACTCTAGGCACTTGTGCAAGATGTACTGATAGCCAGGAGTGATTATGAGCAAGATGGTCTACAACTGAATGACTGTTGACCGAATGGCAGTGAGTGTGGTCCAATTCGCCTTCCAGATGATGGAATCTGCTACACTAATGAGTTGACAAGATGGACGTGAAGTATGCGATTGGTCTAGAAGACCGTCTGGACCTCATTTCAACAACTCCTTGATGACTTTACCTACTGCAATGGTTTTCTCATCTCCGAACTTGCCCCCTACAACCTGGACGCCAACCGGCATGCCCTTGATAAGTTCAAGATCATCTGCAATAACAATCACGTTAAACCCATTCCCACATGCTTGTCTGAAATCACCAGAACAACTTACATTGCTTCCAATTAAATTCATCCGACGGATTCCTCGGCGTATGCGCCAACCACTCCTGATCCGGCTGGTCCTTTTGCACATCAACCGTCGTAACGGGAATCGTGAGCGCCGCGTAATTCACAAAATTCCAGATCGAAGTGTATCCGACGTATTGATGGCTCTTGACCCACGTCCACGGCTTGTAGCCGATCCAGGGCGTAACAGGCATGATCAACGCGTCAAGGTTTGCGTCAGCCCAGCGCTCGAGGTATGTTTGTTCGTATTCGAATTTGTCGAGGTTGAGCTGCGGGGACGGTTTAGTTCAGGAAGGCGAGGGAGATGAGAGTGACAACGCGGTGGATAACTCACTTGATGGAGTTCAGAGGGAGTCATTAGATCCTTCTCGGTGCCGACTAACATGCCTTGGACCAGGGGTTCGCCACTCATTTCGCAGAGTTTGCGACAGGCTTCGCCGCCGTCAGAAAGGATGGCCTTTTCCCAGAGCTGGTAGCAGTAACCGTGAGAGCTAGCGTCCCATTCAAATACTGCAGGTTGTTAGAAGGCGAGATTCGGGGTTATGCGAATCAGATTTTCGCTGACCTTCGTGGCCTGCTGCTCGTAGCCGCTCGACGACTTCCCTGACGGCTCGCGCAGCTGGCGGCTGGACCTTTACCACGCCATCATCAATCACATATCCGATCCTCAATTTTCCGCTCGATGTGCATAACTCTGTCCGCCAGGGGACAGGAACCACATATGGATCTAGTTCCCAGGGCTTCGCCGAAGCAAGGGCCGACATATATGTTTCGACAGTCGACAGACTAGATGTTAATGGCCCAGCCACCGGTCTTACAATTTCTTGCCGCGTTCTAGGAAGCAGTGTTAGAAAACGCCATTCCTGAGATATCGCAATATCTCACCCTTTCGGCTGATAGGGTTGCCTCCCGAATGTCGGACAGAGTCCATATAGCCCACAAAGACCAGCTGGGATTCTGATGGATCCGCCGATGTCACTTCCGAGACCCAGAACGCTGGCTCTTGCACTGACTAACGAGCCCTCTCCGCCAGAACTTCCGCCAGAGATGAGGTTCCTATTCAATGGGTTGACACATTGGCCAAACACGTGGTTATATGAGTCCGACATCTGGTTCACATTAGTTCATTAGTCATTTGCGAGGGTCGAGTGATAATTGAAGGCGCACCATCATTGACTGAGGGATATTTGATTTGACGTAGAGTACTGCCCCGAGTTGACGAAAGATTTGTGCTGGGTAGCTGTCTT